TTGCATTAAATTCACATACTGGAATTCACAGGATTTCATGGAGAAAGGAAAAAGAAAATTTTATCAATATAACATAAATCTCAGGCTACTGCCTACATGCATTTTTGTCTGTGTGTGTGTGGTTTCTGGAAGACATCTCATCCTGAATGGCAGAACATCAGATGAAACCTGAGCTGCTGTATATCCCTGGAAACGCATCCCTATGTTGAGATCTTGTGATCTCCCTGGACAACTCTCAGATTACACCATCTGACACCTTGGAGTAGTTTTGGAAACCCAGCTATCCTTCTCACCACACATTACTAATCTGAGTCTGTCATGCAGGTTTCTCCTTTACAATTTCATGAGGATCTGACCATGTCTATCCACAGAGGCCACTTAGATAGAAGACTATACTACTGCAACTCACTCTACTGCAACTTGCTGAGTTCCCTCTGCTGGCTTTCTGGTTTAAAACTCTGATGCTTGTCTTCAAAGTAGAAAATGGACAAGTCTTCACCTACCTTAAGGCACTTATCAAACTCAGCTCTGCACTACACTGTTTTAGATTGATGGGATTCTTAGTCCTTGACCTAATTCATTGAACTAGCATGAGGAGATGTTTCTGATAGAGACTACATAGCACTTCTGTTAGTCACTCTGGATAAGTTTGTCTGCAAAATGCTGTAAAAATGTAAATGTAAATGTATAAGTCTCTGTGCAACAATCTAAATGCCATAGCATTAAAAAACAGATTTCCTTTTCACACTTTACTATTATAGAAATATACTGGCACAAACAGACACCAGATGTCATAAGACATTTAGTGTCATAGACATCTAACTGTAAGCCTTTTGACAGCTCTATTGTGGTATTTTGTGTTGAAAGAATTTGCTATAACTATGTTTGCTATAACTATATAAATATGGTACATTATTATCCAACTGGGGCTTTGTCTCATCATTTATAACTGAATAATAACCATTTTAATTTTGTCACACAATAGCTGTTACTAGGGTTTAGTGATAGAGCCTTAGAATGCCTATCTAATGACAAGAGCAGG